TGCCAATTCTAAAAATATCTCTCAGTTTTTTCCATTATTCCATTCACAGTACTACTCGGAAAGGCTGTTAATTTAATTTAATAAAACGTCCCATTAAATGTTCTTGGGTCATATTTAATTTTGGCATTTTAAAAAGTAGAAATTAAAGTAGACGTTTTGCATGTTTTTGATATTTTTGTTATTGTTTTAAATTGGCTTAAAGTTTAAAATACGATATTGAAACTGCTCGAATTTTACATCCAACTGGTAGTCATGATGTCTTAAACTAAAGTAATACTTGAAGCAATATTAAAATAATATTTTCCAACAAGAAAACAATTAAAATCCATTCAATTATTTGTTTAATAATTTTAAATATACATCATCAATAACCTGTCTCCTGATGTAAAAAGTCAAAGTTCAGCCGTTGCAAAATCAGTTCGATAAAAGTGTTAATTCCCACATCATCAAATTCGGCGCGATGGTAAATTGCAATAAGTCCCAGCGGCTGCCATATGCAAATCGTGGAGCAGGCAGATGTGTTGCGAGTGGTGTTGTTTTTGTTGCAGCTGATGATGATGCTACATACACATTAAATTTCAATTTCGGGTTCATTTATCGTGGCTGTGGGCGGCTGGCACGGAAGTCACAATGTCAGTGCCTGAACTTAGCCAAGGCCGCCAAGGCAGCCCGGCAGGGCGAAAAGTTTACCCTTCAACTGTGCGAAACTTGGCGGTTCCCAGCCACGTTTACGCAAGTCCTTCCACTTCCACTCACCTCGCTCTCTCCCGTAACACAGCGTATGTATATGCAAGGGTATATCCCCCACGATCCTAGTAAATATGCAGAAAACCAACAAGAGCAATAACTGCTCCGCACAAGATACACACGCACACTTGCGAGTGCATAAAAATTAAGCAAACGGCACTTGTAACTGGCAACAAGAAGGACAGCAACAATGCCAGCGGCAACAGAGACAGTAACAACAACAAGTACCACCGTTTTCTAACTTATACACTGGAAAAAATTAAGAGCTATTGGTATTTCAAATAGTATTGTCATGAAGCTCATGGAGTAGAGAATACAGCTAAAGTAGCCTACGGCAGACATCATATCTTTCAGCTTTAATGACAAAAGCTAAATTTTTTAATAAAAAAGGATAAGAAATTAAATTTTTCCTGTGCAACTTGCGACTCTTAGTTGCAACTTTTAGCAGTTTCCCAAAATGCAACAGTCGACAGGACGAGCGGCAACTTCCGCTGGGCGTTGAGCTTCACGCCGGCTGCACATCCTCGATGCCCCCTTGCTGGGGGAGGACCCTAAACCAATCCCCAGCCATCCTGGACACCCTTCGGATGAGGACAACAATAGCAACAAATGCAAGTGCAAAACTTTTGCCAAGCAAGTTTGAGTTTTTTCTTCCGCTGTTCGTGCTCAGCCGAGGGCTGCCACTCGCCTCATCTGCCTCATCAGCCTCAGCTGGCTGTGCAGCGTTGTTGCAACTTTCGCTAGCTGAAACTTTAAGCCCGGCCAAGTCTTGCACGGCCCTATCTCTGGGCCAAGTCCTGCTGCTCCGGCGTACGTGTTTGTGTTCGTTACGTACGTGTCCTTTTTGGCATTTTGTGCTAGTTGTCAGCGCCAAAAGCTGCTGGCCAAAAGAATAAGCTGCACAGACACGATAGCGAACTTGAAACTTATTTTGGCCACGCCTCTATACAGTAGGATATCCGGTATGAAAGATTTTGATTGCCCGAATAAATTGGTGTTCCGAATTTTAAGATATAAGTGCTAATACCAAGTAGTTTTTAATGTTTGTCAGCCATGTTAATTAGTTCAAATATTTTTAAGCCTTAAAAAATATGTGTTTTAAACAGCCATCACTGTCTGAAATAGCTTAAGTGAGCTGTTGTTGGGATCTCCTCTCAACTGCTGTCACGACAGCTGCTCGAAGGAAACCAACTACTTGAAACTATAGCTTCCTCGCTTATTTTTATATTTCGCGTCACAATTTGCTGAAATATCGAGAGACTACCCGGTGGGGCACTGACTTTCATTAACTGAAACCTTAGACAGAGAACTTTAACTTACTTGCACTCGTTCTGCGTAATTATTTCAATTATTTTGTAATTAGTGCAGACGGGTTGCAGCCGAGGAAGATGCAGAGCTCACCTGGCCTTTCAGGAAAGTATTATTAGCTGCCAGAAACCCTCACAATCGCCTGGCCAGAGCCCCCCCTAACTGCTTCTGTCAACTGTCTGGATTTGAAAGAGCAGGCACCACCACAATGCGGCATCAGATTCGAAGGCAACGAAAAGTGCACTTGGCCGCAATTTGCAAAAAGTCTCTGCAACTCGAAGTTTTCCAAGCCAAGTCCCCAAGTTGCTTGGTCCGTGTACTCGGACTCTCGTCCTTTTGTGTCCGGGACTTGGGCCATTGAATGGAAATAGAATGGCCAGCCACCGAACCGCCTAACCACGGAACCGCGGTGGTGTCAACAACTTGGCAATGAGTTTGCCTCCGGCCAGCACCTGTAAATATTTTGCTCCGTCCATTCTGGTTACTTCCTTCATTCTAACGCGATCTTACGAGCTGTCTCACCTGCAGGCCTCTGTTTAATGAATAGAGGAGTAGCTTTCAGCAGCTCTATTAGGGTACAGTACAGTAATGATGTTACATAAATCAAGAAATTGGTCTTTGATTGTGGGTCTTAGAAGGAAAGAAATCAAAGTTGTATGAATTATTTACCCAACTCCTTAAAAATAGAAACTACTCTTCTTTAAAGTCCTAATTGTATAAAAAAATCAATAAGGTAAATGCACTTTCCAGTTTTTTTTCGTCTGAGCCAAGATGTGTGCCCCTTGGCCACAGGACCTTGCCCTAAGCCCTTAATCATTTCAAGCTATTTGCACACTCTCAATGCAATTCAATTAAAAGTTACCTCCTCCCCCAGGCTCCAAATCCCTAATACGGACCTCTGATAGATACTTTGTCCACACTCATTTCTGTTTTAATACTTTTAATACCTTTTGAATTGCTTGCCACAAAGTTTGCTCCGTGCGGCTCAAGGAGCCTTCAAAAATTGATGCCGAAGCAAACAGAGCTGGATATTTTTTTTTTTTTCCGGGAGGAAGGGTCCTGCTCGCCCACTCCGCCCCTCATGTGGCATATTAACTGCTCCTGCCACAGATCCTGGTCCTCTGTCGACTGCCTCATCCCTTGCGTTTGTACTGGAGTGGCACTCGATATTTATTCGATTTATGGAATTTTTTGGCAAAAGAATTTTTTAATAAAACGAATTTTATTGGCATTATCCTGCAGCTATTGCCATTGCTGTGTGCCTGAGAGGAAATTAATAATGCTACTAGGCTAATAAAGGACGAGCACACAGGCACGCACCTCCACACAGTGCATATGCGTGTGTGCGAGAATGGATATGTGTATGGATATCGATGATGTGACACTTTTGGGCACACTTGTCCTTTGGCTCGTCCCTCCCGCTTCATTTGTCCTTTTACATTGAAAATTGAAAAGTTTGTCGAGTGGCTTTATTATTATTTGCATTTGCATGGCCGCCCGACTGCCAAGTTTTTGCTATTTAATTTTTCATTATCATGGAACTGGCTCCGAGCTGAAAATTCAACTTCATTGCGAGCCGATTTTGTAATTCTTTGCTGCCTTTATTATGAATCGGCCGCAGGGGCATTTCCTTTGAGGCCAACAGGAAATTAAAAGTGTTGGTAAATATTATTTTGCCTGCGAGTGTGTGAGTGTGTTTGGCTGCACAGTGGACTTGAAACGTGCAAAATTTTGGTAAAGATTATGAGGGACTTAAATTATATTATGATGTTTATGATGCTTATGTTTTATGTATGATGTTTTATTTTATATAGAATTTTGTGCACTATTAAAAAATATGTTCTGTTATATATTATGATTAATTTGTCTAATTATTTTTAAATTAAATCCTAATTTAGAAAACTAAGTCCAACAAACAAGCGTAAGCAGAAGTAGATGCTAGGATGTTCGAGTGCAATTTTTTTCCAGATAGAAACAGTAGAAGAGACTAAGACCAATTTAAAAAAAATCAATAATTTTTTAAATTTTATAATACATGGTTTTGCTTAAGGTTTTGCTTAAGGTTTAAGGTTTGTAATTAAAAATCGATACATATTTTGAAATAATATTTGTTTTGTACTAGAGCGAAAGGTTACACAAAATTGAAAGTGATTTAAAATGTTGAATATATATATATATTTTTTTCTTCTTCTTTTAATTTGGATTATTTTTTTAACAGAATTATTTGTTTTATAAGAATTAACAAATTTTAAACAAAGTTGATTTTAGTTCATATTTATTAATGACAGATTTCTAGCCAAGGTTTGTAGCCAGACCATAATCCGAAGACTTTCGAGGCTACACTGTCGCCTCTTGAACACGCAACGTGTGCTCAACATTTGATTTTTCATCTGCGGAAGGTAGTGGTACTTCTAATAAGCTAACTTGCAGCCGGAGACTATTTGGGAGAATTTAAGGGGGGTCTTTACGGGGGTAGAGGCTGGGAAGGCAGAGCCCAAATGTATTACACGAATTCCCCGGCCGATAGACCCGGATCCTGCATGATGTATTGATTTTTTGCAGGCAGCCGTTCATTCTGGGCCATTTGTCGGCTTTCGCCTGTTCCGGCGTTGATAATGCCGATGCGTAATCCATCTCCTCTGCCTCTGTTGTTTTCTGTTGCTGTCGACCACGCCCCGAAAACACGGCCAGCCCACTTCACCTTGTGCGTGTTGTGAGTGCACTTGAACTTTGACATTTCATTGCGCTGACATTTTGCTTAGCTAGATACAATTGGAGCGTGCGTGCGGTCGGTTGGTTGGTCGGCATTGGCCTGAAAAGTTTGTCAATTTCGAGTTGAGGGCCAAAATAGCCCCCCTAAACCTCACTCTCCCCCTGGAAAGTACAGGGCCCACACCACATCCTCCCATCCCACATCCATGAATAAAATATAGAGTGCAGGCGTATGCTTTTGATAAAACACAATTTTAATAACTTTGACATCAAGTACACATCGAGAAGTTGCATAAACACAGACACACACTTGTACACAAAAATACACATTGTATGTATGGATGTGCATACTGAAGCGTATTAGATTTCAACTGCAGCATTTCGACTTAATAGCCATAAGGTCCTGACGCACACGAGTATAACCAACACGGTATACCCAATATGCACTATAGTATAGTTTAGTAGTTCTTTTTTTCGAGTGGTTATTGCTATAGTTGTTGCTGCTTGGTGGTTGCTATTTTCTAAAACTGTAAGTCCATTTATTTACAAGAAAACTTTTCAAAAATTGAACCATAAATATACCAAATAGACACACATATATGTATATATATAACGAATGCATGTGTGGATATCATATTTCATGGCTTAAACTTTTTGTTGCGGTTTCCTGGTTTGCAGTTACTGTCAGAGGGTGGAGCCTGGATCCCAAAATTGCCAACAAAAGTTCAACTTTCCGTTTTGAATTTATGCTAATTTTACTGAACGTACTCGTAGTTTGGTTAACTTGCCTAATTAGCCGTGAAATAACATTTTGGATTTGGATTTGCTCGTTCTCTTGCGTTTCGGTGTAAATTCGTTTAAATTTTAATATATTGACTTGTTTGTTTATTTTTTGTTTTCAATTTTTAACTTTTAGTTGGTACTCGCATGCAGATTATGTTGAAATAATTGAGCATTTTCCGCTGCCTAAGCTACTAAAAACGAAACTAACACAGAAGATGAAAGCGTAAGAATTTCCTTGGACCCAGCCTTCTTGTATCGATCTCCGATCGCAATTCATCCAACACTCTTAGGACTCTAGGGTATCTACTCGTACTATCGTGGTTTTCTTTAAGACACAGGGAAGACTTTAGAAATCTAATCATAAATGGCGTACATACATAACTTAGCCCTAATGAGTATCAGCTAACAGATATTTAATTCCGTATTCCCGTATTTTTAAGCGCTTACAAATCTCTGGGGTTCATCGATATTAATCTTTTCGGTTGTCTTTTGGGGCACGTGTGTGTGGTGAGGAGTTGTAGTTAGTTTTTTAAAACTAGTTAGGATTGTCTCTGCTAAAAACATCGCCTCTACTTTCTAGTTTCTCTCATAATGCACTGCCAATTCCGTAGCATATTCCAGCAGTATGTTGCGGATAACTTCAGCCTCAGATCCTCAAGCCCTGGCCCGCTATTACAGATACTGGTCCTCGTTATCCTTCAGTTGAAATCAAATCTTTGCACTGCGGGCCCGGGCCGCATGTTTCCGACCGAAGAGGATCCTCTTGAAGGCTCTTCGAAATTCTGGATTGAAAATGGTATAGATGACCTGTGAAAGATATTTTTATTCATGAGTTACTGAAACAGAAATATTTGAAAACTAAACTAAATGAAAAGTCAATAAATAAATAGCCTTGTTAATATTCAAGAGGTTTTTTTTAAATGTATGTATATTTATAATATTTTATCAAATATTTTAAGCAGATATTTTGGATTTTTATTTTGTAAAATTCAATAAATTCTTTTGAGAAAAAAACCTATCTTTTGATTGACGATAGCATTAGCTACTCCTAAAGAACACCACTCTTGACTAAATACCTCACCCCTTATGAATATATTGATATTTTTTGGCCCATAACTAATAATATTAATTAACATATTAATATTCGATTATCAAAACAATTATTTCGTGCTATTGTTAAGCTTAACGAAACAAATTTTGAGCATTTATTAGCTACTTTATATTAGCATTGTTATTTTGTTTTCATTTACGTATAAATTACGCATTATGATGAGCTAATGATGATTTTTTAATTTCTTTTGTTTGAAATAAAATTGTGATTAAAAATTAAAATTATTGAATCATTTTTTTCTGTACTATTTGATATATTAATTAAAATGCTTATAGATTTACCCACCGGATTCAGGGTCGAGTTGAAATATCCCAGCCAGAGGAAAAGCGAGGCCACCGCCGTGTGGATCTCGCACTCCTTGCACAGGCTCATTGTCAGAGCCATGACGAAGAATGGCAGCCAGCAGATGACGAAGGCGCCGGTGATTATGGCCAGGGTCTGAGCTGCCTTCCGCTCCCGTTTCGCCTCCAGGAGCTGCCGCCTTTTGGCCAGTTTCTGATGTGGATTGGCGATGCTGGCCAGCACCCCGCCGATGCCCACGCCGGCGTTCTTGCCAGGACTACAGCCCTCCAGACCTCCCCCGCCGCCCTTCTCGAGTCCTCCGTCAGCGCCCACGCTCTCGCCGCCATCGGAGGGCGTGGCCGGTGTCAAGCAGCCACCGCCCATGGCGATGGACTGGGCCAGTGGCGTGATGGCGTTCAAATGCGAGGCTATCAGGTGGTGCTGTGTGGCATGTGCCACCTGCTGCGACAGGGTGATGATTTCGTTCGCGTTGCTGGTTCGGTACTAATGGGAGGGCGGGTCAAGGGTTAATTAGTCACAGAACAAAGGGCAAACGAACAATGATAATGAGGTAATACTTTGAGTCTGGGGGCAGAGATAACTTTTTGGCCGAATTAAAGACTTAACTTACATCATCAGCATCGCTGGACACGGTGGTCAGTTCGGTGCCCGCGTGGCTCTTGTTGTCGTAGTTGCTGGTGCTGAACTCCGTCTCCTCGCGGGTGATGGCCAGGCTGGCGAAGTCCACGGCGATGGCGGCCACCGACCTGGCCACCGCCCCCTCCGATCCCGCGCAGATGTTGGCCGTGTTTGTGTTGCGCCCGAAGCAGATGCGCATCCTTTTCCGAGGTCGCCGCTGCAGCTGGGAATCGTTGGCCTCTCCGTCTTTACCGATGCCGCGCTGTTCCTCCGCCTCCTGGCGCTTCCGCAGGGCCCGCCGCTTGCCCCGCTCCTTCTTCAGCTCCCGCACTGTGGAATCACACTGTCGGTCGATACAAAAAACGGAAAGTGGCCGAAAGGTGTTAGCTGAGTTGTTAATGGGAAACGGCTTGTTTATGAACTTGATGAAAGCGGTTCGGGAGAGCACATTTGGCTTGTGTCTTGTCAACGGAACAAAAACAAATCAAATGCGAAATGGAAATGACTCTGACCTTCGCATATTGCTCTAATTATTCTATGGAAGCACTGAGAGAAACAATATTTCTCTTTTTTACATATTAGTTTAGTTTTGTACTTTATTTTGGGAACCTTTAAAATGCTTTTTAATTCCTAAATGTCTTTTTTAATGTCAAACTAATACCCGATTGTTTTCAGTGCAGCAATCTGCCCCTGACACAGGGCCACACATCGGGGCGATCATAAATCTCGGCTGGCATTTGTTTGGCTTTCGCCGCAGCGGCTCGCTTCGAGTGCTCACTTGGGCATGCTAATGAGCAGCCGGGACGAGGACTTCCCTACAGCAACGGCAACGGCACGGGCAGAAACCACATAGCCATAGTCATAGCCACTTCCCAGAGCCATAGCCATACCCATTCGCATTATTGTTTCTGTTAATGACATACTCATTATGGCAGGCAAGCAAATACACTTCTCGAGCAGCATCAACATCCACTCGATGGAGCCCCCGAAAAAAAAATATACAAACACTGGGAAATGGAAGTGGGATGTGGAAGTGAAAGTGAAAGTGAGGGAAATAGGAGAATAGAAGAATAGAATATTAGAATACTTGTGGAATTTCATTAATGGCTCAACCGGGCGTATGAGCGATAAGTCGGAGGTCGGGCCTAAGTGGCCACTTGGCATTTATCACTTGACTTTATTGATTTACTTACATCTGTCTCGGTGAGAGTGACGTTGAAGGACTTCTGGGCTCGCCGCTGAATGCGCTTTCTGGCAATTATATAAATTTTCCAGTACAGGAACAGAATCACCAGCAGCGGCACGTAGAAGGTACAACAGGTGGCAAAGATCTGTCAATTGAACAGGAATAGAGAGCGAGTAAGAGTCAGATCCGAGTCCTTGGACTTGGGGCATCCGTCTTGGTTACCTGATAGGCCACATCCTGTGACACCATGCAGTGCTGCTCCTCGATGCGCTTCATGTAATCCGGATCCTTCCAGCCGAACTGCGGGGCAAGGGAGACAATCAGTGCCGCAAACCAGACGCAGAAAATCATGAGGAAGACGCGCCGCGGAGTTCGCAGATTGTTGTAGTCAATGTTGGTCACCGTCCAGTATCTGTCAGAAAGGAAGCAGTAGAGGAAGTCCTTGTTTTTTGTCGCCATCAGGCGGCACTGCACTCACCTGTCCGCCGCAATGGCCACCAAGTGCAGAATGGATGCCGTGCAGCAGAGGACATCGCAAGACGTCCAAATGTCACACAGTTCCGGGCCCAATATCCAGCCATTACTTATCTGAAAAAGGATTGGCACGGGCGATGAGCAGCGGAAAGGACCAAGGACCTTCAGCAACACATTGTTTGCCAGTGATGATGCAATTGAAACAATTAGCACGGCCCAACGAGGCAGCTCGGCCTCGGCAAAAGTGTCAACTCTTTGGCGCCTAATTTCATTTGCCGGCATTCCTGCTCAAGTTTCCATTAGGGTAATCGAGTTAGTTGAGCAACGGCAAGGACAATAACAGCAGGCGGAGAAAAAGGCAGCCAGTTGAAGTTTAAATTGTGTTTATAGCTCACTGAATACCGAACTCTACTTTATTGCTCAAAATATTTAAGCCACGTTTCACTTGCCCCCAAACAGGCTTTGATTGTCAATCGAATGAATGCTTTTATGTGAAATGATTTGTAACTCATCCTTATCCTGATTTAAGCATTACCATCTCTCAGTGATGCAAAGACACTAACAAACTTACCTCGTAGACGGCGCCAAGTGGCATGACAAGACAGGCAACAAATAAATCAGCCACTGCCAGAGATGCAACCAAGTAATTGGCAACGTTCTGCAAGTTCCTCTCCAGGATAATGGCGGCAATTACAAAGACGTTGCCTGCAACAACGGAAAGCCATGATGAATGCAAATTGACAAATTTTATATTATGTGATGGGTCATTTAATTTTCCATTGAATCGGTAAGTGGTTTGTCGAGGGCAGTTAATTGGAAACAGGAATGGCATCCATTAAGCAGCTGTTAGAGTGTGTGTGTGATAGTGTCCTTTTTGGACTGAGAAGGCAAACTTTGAATGAAGTTGTGCAAAATCAATCAGTGGCAAAGGCTTCGTGTCAAAGGAGTTTTCATTTTCCAGCCTAATTGCAGGCAATCGTGCATGTGCCTTTCAGTCAACCACCCACACTTACTCTCTTACTTTCCACTCTCTACAAGCACACACTCACCCACACCCTCAAAGGTGCTTTCTCCTTTCTTTTCTGTCTCCCTGTGGGATGCAAATGAGAACTGGCTGGCAGCTAGCTCGTAGCCATCATCATTGTCGTTGCTTGCTTTGATTAAGCGCATGCAACTTGGCAAATTGTAATTGCCGCAGTGCCACCTCGACTCACCTACACTCCATCCTAGCATCCTGCCACACTCCCCAACCCTCCTGCCGTCCCATTTTCGGCTGTCTCTGCTCTGGGGACAGCGCAGCAGTGGCGGCTGCCGAGACAGCGAGGACAGGGTTGTCAAAACGTTTTGTCGTCGCTCGGCCGGGGCCAGAAAGTGCATTTGCATATGTCTTTGCCGGGGAAATGTTGCGCATACGACGTGTGGTACCACACACCAACTGATATTGCACCAAAAATATTATACTTTGTGAAAGATTTTAGACTTTTATTTTAACCCCATTAGGCTTAATAAGACTTGAAGGAATAACTTTCTTTTATGAAGAAAAACAAAAACATTGCGCATACGCCTAGTGTGCTTACTTCAGAAATCAATTACAAATCGTTTCTTCAATTTCTCCCCGTGTAGTAGGACCTAAAAATCGTGTCTGATATGTGTGTGTGTGGCAGTGTGTTTATCGTAATTTGCATTTGACGCCTTGGCGCGGTTTTAATAGCTTTTCACGTGCCGCGGCAAACATTTTTGGAAACTTTTGCTTGCTTCTGGCCGCCTTTGCGGCGTTTAAGCGCAAAGGACTCCTCGTACATCATCCAGCCATGCAAAACAATCAGCCACCCCTAAGGAGCAGACACCCAAAGCGCCACACTCCCCAGTTCGCACTTCTAATTTTCCATTTTTAGCGCTTAGAGCCGGCGGTAGCAAATCATCTTCGTAAGCCCAAAAATCAATAAAATCTTCCAAGAGGGCGCAATAAAAATCTTCTGCATCATAAATTTTACTTCATTTACAGTTCAGTTTGGCGGCGATATGGAAACTTTTTCCATATCCCCAGTCCCCGGTCCCCAGTCCTGGTTATACATCCCGGCGGCATAAATTTGAGAATAATTTAATGCCTATCCCAGTACCCAGTTCTCAGCACCCACCCGCTGGCACTTCCTCCGCCCCTTTTTTTTTATTATTTTTTTTTTTTTTGTGTCAGAGAGGGAGTGGTGTAATTTAAATTTGGATTTGATTTTGATTAAGTACTTGCCTATGATGGTGACGAGTATCATGAGACCCAGAACGACGGCCATGACGATCATCTTGACCAGCAGCCAGAACTCCATGGCCGCCCGCTGCTCGGCTTCCAAATCGAAGATGCTGCTGTTGGGGTTGATGTTGCTGCCGGTGCTGCTGCTATTCCAGATGATTTGGCTGAGATTGGTGCCGATGGTGTCCTCCAGCTGGGTGAGATTGCCATTCAGCTCGATGAAGAGGCTGTCGTTGAGCAAAATGGCTGGCAGTTCTATTTCCAAAATGCTCGCTGGGACGTCGACATCCACATCCAAATTCACATTTCCCTCAGCCATGGTGGACAATGTTGCTGCTGCTTTAAGCATGTCGCATGTACTGTATGTCTGTGTGTATGGTATTGTGTGTATAAATGCTTTTCGGTTTTTTTTGGGGCGTGTCAGAGTGTGTGTGTTAGTCTAAAGCATTTGGTGTTGCTGCTTGTGTTGCTGTCGCAGCTGTTGCTGTTGCCGTTGCTGCCGTTTCTGGTGTTGCTGTTGCTGGCGTGCCTGCCGTTCGTGTTGCTGCCGTTGTTGCGGGTGATAAAGCGCCTTAATCGTGCTTGCCAAGCACTTAACACGTAAACTGCAAAATACAGGGCGGTTCGAGAGTCAATGGGGAGTCAGAGATGAATGGCAAAACACACACAACACACACACAGCTCTCAGCACATAGAGGCAAATGTAGAAAAGCAAAAAACACAAAATCTGCACAAAAAAATCTGTATAGTAGGTGCCATGAAACAAACAAGAAATAAAAGCCTTGCTCCGTTTAGACGAGTACTCGTATCATAATGTTGCGCCCCAAAATAACACAATTTCCCTTTTTATTCCCCTCCAGTGAAGCTGAAGTGCTTCAAATTAAGTTCACATCGTGATAAATGATGGTCATCTCATCTGGCTATGGCTCTGGCTCTGGCTCAGTTTACCTCGAATCCCCCAATTAATTAATCATTTCAATCGAGCGAACTCTTTCACAAGTTTTTTACGAGCCCCCAGCCCACTGTGGGTCTAATCTCCCCACCGACCTCCAGTACCTTATCTGATTTTCGGCTAGGAAAGTCCCCGAACAGTAAACAAAATATATAGTTATTTTAAAATATAATATAACTAAGACTTTCCTAGAAACAAAATTTATAAAAATGAGTAATAAAATATGTATACTATTCAATATATGTAGTTATACCCGGTACTATTGTAGAAAGTGTTTCATTCAACAAAGCTCTTCAAGATCTATTGTCTACAAAGTAGTTTCTCTAGTAATCATATAGTATATAAAAGATATTATTTGATTTAATACTATAATTACAGAATACTTTTCTCTCTGTCGCCTTTGTTTGCTTTTCCGTTTAAAATTTAAGTCGTCTATTCGCTATATAAGCTCAGTCACCTAAGCTTCCTCAGTTTCATTCGAAATGTGGCTGCCAACACTTGGCTTTCAGATGCATCTCGCGCTTTTTCTTTCCTCGCTACTGTGGATGATGATGCTGCCGCATCCTGGAAACTCTGAGCTGTATGGTTATCGTGAGGACTCTCGCCGCCTTCCCTACGAGTCGCCGAGGGAATTTCGATCAGAGCTGAGATCTCCGCCCATCTACGGTTGAGAATGTAGTGGCAGAAACAATAAAGCAGCGAAAAGCTGGAACATTTGCATTCTCGCTTAATTCACTCACAAAGGGCGTTGTGAGTGGCAAAGTGGCAAGGTGCCAGAGTGCCAGGGTGGCTAGTGGCGGGGTGACTGGGTGTCGCCTGGCGAGTGGTATTGCCACTTGGCCTTTGTGCGCCCGACACACTGCCTGACCTTTGTCTGTGTGTGTTTGCCAAGGTGTCCCCAGGTGCAGGCAGTTAACTAGTCTGAGGCATCGCGAAGGTTGCCACATGAAATGCATCCTGCCGGCAGCCTGCAGCTCCCAGGGCTCCACATCGCCGGCGGCACGGCAGGAAGTCCTGTGGCGGCCCTCGGTGAATAGTTTCTCGTCGTTGCCTTTGGTTTTGGCTTTTGCCTGAAATGCTAATGAGAGGCGCCGGAAATGGAAGGCAGGAGTGGCTAGAACCAAAGCCAAGCAGCTCATGTGTGAGAAATATTTTCATAGTCAAGGTAATCGTCATCCGTCCCAGTGGAAGCTGCTATTAATAAAGGCACTAAAAATGTTTCAAGTCGTTGGAGTTCAAGGATGCCACCGCATTTTCCGTGTCCTTGTGGCACGGTACTCTTGAATATTTCAGCCCAGAGTGACTGCAAGATCAACGAACCTTTTGAAAATCAATCGTTTTGTGTGAATAATCACACACTTCTTGAGAACTCAACTGGGTATCTTAAGGTCCCTACCCTGGGCCATGTCTCGCAGCTTTTTAATTACGAAAAGCGAGTTGTTGCCTTCGTTTGTGGCACATGAATGCATGTATTTTTTGCGTTATGTACCAAGGCCGTGTACATGAATTACACACGCCACACGCAGTGGGTGGAGTGGAAAAAAAAAATGTGCTAACGTTTGCAACAAAATTCGCCTTAGGGGATAGTCGAAAAAAATGGCAAGAAGGAGGAGAATCGCGCTGGTCTGCGGTTGCTCCTGAACCGCCCATCCCTTGGCCCCTGCTTTCATGAATCTGAATCAGAATCTGCCCCGAAGGCTTAACTCTTTCCCAGCTTGCCACACACACCCATACAGTTGCTGGAATTATAATTCATACTCTAATAAATATACAAAAAGTTCTGTTGAATGTCTGCTGTTGGCATTGCTTTCTTTGTTGCTGTTGCTATTGCTGCTGGTGCTGGTGCTGGTGCTGGTTCTGGTTCTCGTTCTGGTGCTGTGTCAGCGTAATCTCTTAGCAGCCTTTTCGTTTTGATTCAGAGTCCCATTTTCTAATTCCATTTAGCCCGGCGAGCGCAGTGCTACAATATACCAATTAGCCGGGCTCAGATCCGGCTGCATGAATATAGAATACGGAATACTAGGTACAAAAGGATTTATAACCGAGTTAACGTCTTTACTTGTTGGGGCCAGTTTATGAAGATAATTGAACGACAGCAATTTGCACTCAGGTCGAAGCTCGTTGAAACTTTTCACTAATGCAGTCGCCTAATTGCCACGACTCGCACAGGTTGTGCCAGCAATGGCGCCCCTTCGCCCATTCGGGGCACTTGCCACAGCCCCAACGGAGCCTGGGCTGCCAGGTATCGAACTAATCAAGTTGCCAGCCACATGGCGAGCCAATAAAACTTGCTCCAAGACTCGGACCGATTGCTGGCAGTCGCAATGCAATTTTCCATTAGTTGAGTGCACAATGGCAGCCAAACAACTCGATGCCGCAAGGCATCCTGGTCAGCAACAAAAGCAGGCTACACATTGAGAAAAGTAATGAGAATAATGAATAAAAAATATTACAGTTAAAAAGGCAATAAATCATTAAAAAAATCATTATACAATAAATGAAAGCAATTGCTTTTAAAGAGAGAGCTGCCACCTTCCCTTCTACACTATAAGAAGTAATAGTTTTTAAAAGCTACTAAAAGCCTCTAAATGATATTTAAGTCATCTTATATGTATTACAAAAATTTCCTATTTAAACCTTTAATAAACCTCAATTATTCAACAGTGTATCGACTGCCCTTTAAAAGCATAAAAAAAACATTAAGCATTTCTCTGGCGGGTTGCATGCAACAAACAAACGGAACAAAAAAACGAGCCTGAAAAAAGTGCAGCTGCCGGTGGGAAGTGCTTGAAGCCCGCCTGACCTTGGCGGTTGAAATGAAATTCGTATTCATTATACTCACACATAAGCATAATTATGTCCTTTCATTTTCATTTTTCTCGCTTCATTAGCGACGCTCTGCCGCAGGTAAATTCGTCAACATAAATATTTATGCCGCGCTGTGACAACGGCGTCGGACGCTGCTCCTGCTGATGATTACGATGATAATAATGATGTTTCTCAGGACCTCTTACACACACACACACACACACGAATACTCCATACACTCGCGCATACACAGACAGCCTCCCCCCGCTCGGTTAGTGTGTGTGTGAGGATGTCGATGGGTGATTTGTGTTTATCTTTTTTTGATTTTGTTTCCAGCCTCGCCTTTTTGTCTTGTTTGCCGTCTAATTATGCGGGATCCTCTCACTTTTTTGTCAGTTAATTAATTAATTATTCAAGCCAAAAAAAAGGTCATTTACACACGAGAGTAGCCGCTGATGCACTTAAATGTTCGGCGCTACGACTTGATTCTGCGGCGGCTGTCAGTCTTCGCCTCGAGTTTAAATATCTCAATTATTTGGCTTTAATCGGTCGGCAGACGCGTCGCGTCTTGAGCGTAACTATTGACAAACTGCTTCAATGTGGCCGTTTCAAGTAGGTGGACTCGCCGAGCCACCAGCTGATTTTCTTGTAGACTTGCCCCAAAGCGACGCAGGCGCCTTGCATCGGCTCTCTTATACGGGTTCCGTGTGGCAAGTCTCCAAGCACCGCCAATTTAAGAGAGCCTTTTCGAACTCGAATCTACAAAAAAGTACGCTTTTCGAACGCCACTCTCTTCCGCCTGCCTGTTGAGTTTTCAACCTAATTGTTTGCTTTAGACGGGTTTTTTGGGGGGAATTTGGGAAATATTTTGTTCTGGCCCAGTGGGTTTCGGCGGCTAATGGATGCAAACAGCGGGACAATGCTGCATTCAAGAATCGGGACCTGGAACAGGTTTAATATATCTAATGCACGTCCCACCAGGCCGACTGGCTAATGCGCATTAGGCCTCGGTCCTTTGGTCCTTTGGCCATTGGCATTTTCGATAGATCCCGCCACCACAGCCACTGGCCGTCAATTTGATGGCCATTTCTATGCAACGGCCGTAATGCGAAGTATTCCGGCCAACAACTTTTCGAGTTGGTCAAACTGCTTAGGCGTTTGCCTTTTGACTTCCGCCGTCTTTTGTTACTGGATCAGAACTTGGCCAGGACCAAGGACCAAGGAGCAGCACCAGGACTAAGACCAGGACCTTAGACCAAGACACGGACCCTGGCCAGTCCGGGGCATCGTAAATTAGCAGCGGTTTATTGCCAGTACGTGACATTTTGGCCCCGTTCCGGAGTTCTAGCATTGGCCTCAACAATAATTACGGCCTTCATTTATTTGCCTGCTTGGCTCGGTTGTTCCTCGCCGACGCTTCTACTGACTGGCTTTCCCCATCGATTGTCTTTCAACTTGTGGTTTCCAAGCCACCCATCCGACAATAAAACATTGATTGTTGCAATTGCCCAGCAATTTCTCGGTCAGCATTGCGCATACGACGTGTGGGCTGTGATTGAAACATTCGCATCGCCTCGATTGCTGAAACCGCATCACCGCAAGGGGTGCAACGTGGCAGTATCTCTGAGTATAAACTATCTTTATGCGCGCTTAAGGAGCTATCTTTGTGCGCTTACCAGACCCTCCAGTCGCACACATTTAATATTTTTAAGCATCATACTAATGAGCCAGAAACTTTAACTGAAAACGCTGCGATGTCCTTGGCAGCTGCCATCACGTAAAAGGACCTTAGAGTGTGTCCCCTCTTCCGTTGGGGAGCGTTGAGCAGTTTCCAGTGCGTGACATGCAGCCCCATGAAGCTGAATCAGCACACTGAGGGAAAAAGAGTGGTTCTAGGAATTGAAACTATATTTAAGTTTTGAATCTAATAAAAAGAAACTGCTTCTAGGACTTCAAAACACTTTTTTCCCGTCCTTAGAGATATAAAATATTCTTTCTGTGCATCTGTGGCAGGATAATGCAAGGACACTCTGCAGTTAAAGCCCGGAAGGTTGTTGACTTGGCTCGATGCGTGTGTCATTGTTTCAAATGGCCCAAAAAGGCAAAAAAAACGCTAAAAGTTAAGCGAAAATCTCAAATAATTTGCTATTATAAATGGCACGGAGATAAGCGTGTTTTTTGAGGGGAAACCAAATAGTAGCCAAAGTGGAAGCTAAAGTTCGAAGCCATCGTCACTTCATATGTACTCTATTGAGGTCGGTTTTGAAGTCGAGTTTTATGGGCCGGAGCAATAAACTTGCCATGTCACCATGCATAACATAATAATTATAATAAAAACAATTTTTACGCATTTTATGAGCGCATAAAATTGTAGCATATTCCAAGGCGCAGAGACGGGAGCAAAAAAAAAAATGACGAGAAAAGAGCAGAAAGGAATTTACTGATGAATTGCGGTTTAGTTTTATGAGATGCCCCGACAAGATAAACAATATGTATATATGTACACAAGAACTCGTGTGTGTGTGTGTGTGATGTCTGGATTTTGTGGCAGTTCCTGAGCCGTCAATATGAGACAGTTTTATGAGCAGCCAAGAACAAAGCCGCGTAGCCAACGCCGAAGCCACGCTCTCTGCTGTGTCAACATTTTATGCGCCTTTAATGTTTTGTTTGTTAATAAAATTGGCGAGGACCAAGACGTTGGCTTCGTTACCAGGCAGGCTAACATTATTCCCCAGCTAGAAGCCAACAGCTAGCAGCCAACAGCCAACAGCCAACAGCCGGCTGCCTTTCGCCGTTTTATATATTTTTAATGTGCGCACTTTGACACTTTTAATGAATCCCAAACATTAATTTTCTTAATGAGCGCGCCCATTTAAAGCCTAGTAGCTGCCAGTCGCCAGTTGCCGGTTGAAGAGGAAAAAGCATCCAGTTGACAAATGTCTGGCAGGCCATTATTATACTGCAATGACAGTGCGAATGACAATGGTTGGCCCATTGTCAATTTCCGCTACCCCCGAGCCAGCCATGTCGCCTAATCTTCATCACTTCCAACTTAATGAAGTTTGAACAAAAAGCCATTGGAGCAAGCACTGAGGACAGTAGCCAGGACTCGCACACATGACTGACACTGGCCGGCTTAATGAGCCGCACTAAATTCACACGAAACTTTCCGGCCAAAAGGGATCTCTCTCCGTCTCCCTCGCTCCATCTCTCTCGGCCTCTTGCCTGCTTTTGGCCATTTTGCGAGCAAGAGCGTGTGGCAACTATTTATCGCCGATGCCGGACAAATGTTCTACACTCGGTCGACTGGCAGGAATTTATTGACACACTCAATCGAACGCTTTGATCGTAATCCCTTTTCCAACAAAACCAACCCCCTTTAATCCCCCGTACCCCTTGGCCCATGCCCATGTCCATATCAAAGTCAAGTCAAGTTTTTCCTCCATTTGTTTGTTTGTTGTTTCTCTGTTTCGGGGTTTTGTTACCAAAAAGTTGCGGCCGGACTTGTGGGGGTCAAGTGAAAATGTTATTTACTTTCATTTAGATTGTTTATGTTGCCGGCCAAGTGGAATCTGCTTACAAACTAAACTTCACAGCTATCTATTCCTCGTAAGAAATGTCGACTATTTGATCATTAAAGTCGATCTCGAAGGAGTAACTGCTTTCCGGGGGAGCGGAGGCCTCATAAATTTCCAGGGAAGCAAAGTCTTCTGGAGCTGTGGGGGCTATTACCTCTCGGTCTTGGAATGATTCCACTTGCTCTAAAATGCTGGCCAATTTCTGGTTGGCCCTCTCATTCAGTTCCTCCATTTCCAGATCGTTATTCAGCTGCTTTTGATCCTCTTCTACACAAGTATCCTCTTGATCCTTCTCCGGATTGTGTTTATAAGCTCTGGTCCTTATTTCTGGTTCCTCATCCTCTTCCATGTCATTATTCTGATTCTGCATAGTTTTCGTTGCGGCTTCCCGATCGTATTTGTAATTATTGACCTTTTCTTCTTTGGGATACAGTCTATGGGAGTCAGACTCTAAGTGCAGACCCCACATCACATAAACCATAACCAGAAGGGACACAAAAAAGTACACTGAACTTAAATTAGTAAAAAATACACTTGAAAGTAAGTGGCTTCACTCACCATCCGCCACAATATTGGAGATTCTGTAAATACACCTCTTGGCCAGCCAGAAATCGTCTTCCTCAACGTACAGGTAATGAATCCGGAAAATCAAAACAGCAACTGTCCCACAAATCCAATAGAACACCGAGATGCTCTCCCTCTTCACAATCCGCATCATGGTTATCACATTGAACATGGCATAGCAGCCGTACAGCACCACCCATTTCGCAGGATAATCTGCTGGAATTTATTCAAAATCAATCCTTAATTATTTGAATACAATTGCAGCGTACTCTCCATCGACTTGAAGAACTCCACCAGCCAGAACTGGAACAGGCAGAACGACAGGACACAGTTGGTGCATCCGATGGCCAGTCCCCAGTCCGCTCGGTTCAGCAGGCACTGGCACATCATGAACCTCAAATAAGCTCCATCCATTTGGTTTGAACGCCTCCGTCGGACTGCCCATTGAGGCTAAAGTCGAGTTTATTGAGAAAATCGTTATCACCAGTTCGTTATATGTACTATATATGAAGTGATCCAGGAAATCCCATAGCTAAAAGTTGTGAGGCCATTGAGGTGGACTAGCTACCACAATTTATTTCCGAAACTCACTTTTGAAAGAGAGGTCACTGGAATTCCAGCTTAAACTTTAAGACTCGATAGCATGAAATATGAATGAAATTAAAAATCACTTGTTGACCCGAAAAATATTTAGAAATAAAATCCAAAATTGCCACCCTAATGCGCATGGAAGTCCTCACATCGCCTTTCGAGTGAAATCAAAAATTAAAACTGAAACATTTTGTGCCCGAGCCAGTCGAGAAAGTTCATTTGCGCTCTTTGTGTTTACTTAATCCATAAACTTGTATGTGCTGCACTGGGGTGCGTGTTTTGGGGAGTGTGTGGATGTGTGTGGAAGAGCTCTCCCCTTTGGGGCACTTGAAGCCAACGTGACAACATAAAATGCAGCAGCTTCGCCTTTTTATGTGCCACAGCAGCAGCAGCAACAACAGAAATTTTGTTGTGAAATATTAGAGGGAACGATATGAAAATGCAAACCGCAGTAACCACCAAGAGTCCTGTATGGCTGTTTGTGTTGGTGTGGCTGCTGCACATAAGTGAGTGTGTGTGTGTGTGTGCAGTGAAAAGTTTAGTTGAGTTCAGTTTAGTTAACTGCAGCAGCAGTAGCAGCAGTCCCTCGTACGCAGTTGATTGCTCTGGCGCTGCTTACTGCTCGCAGTTTCTGCACTTTTTGGCCCAAACCAATGAACCACATAATGCGGCTCACCCTCGCACAAACACCCACGCACACAGACGGACAACAAAGCACAAACACACACGCACGCAGCGTCCTAGTAAGAGTGTAAATTATTTGAATTATTTATGAGTTGCCACCGAAACTGGCATGCAACTTAAAGTTTTAAAACTCTTCATTTGGGCACTTTCATTCTAAATATGCAAAAATTTAACTAACAAACTAGTGACCTAGAAATATAAATTAAAGTTTTGATTTAGTTTTCCATTTATTATAGTAATTATATTAAATAAATGAAGCCAAAGCTTGTATTAAATGTAGCATATTGTAATTTTAATTATTTCCTTTGACAAAACAAGTCTAGTCGAATAACTTCAATCATGCTTATTTTTTTGAAATATAAAAGCATTAAAAAAACACTAAGAAAAATAGTCGTTTATCACTTCTTATAATGTGAAATTGAATCAGAAATCTTTACCTATGGTACAACCTTTATTTGAAAAAAAGAATGAATAGATATTCTTAATATTCTCTTTTTTTAAATAGCTTTTTTTGAAATACTTTGTAGAAACCCTAAAATAATTATATATAGGCTCAGATATATATTATTCCATAAACATGTTTTATTACCTTGTAGTATGAATTAAAATCTAGAGAAGTATCTAGACTCTAGATATGCATACGTCAATATGGTGCACACAAATGTTCCATTTTATCACATCATTCTCCATGAAACAAATCACTTGGTTTGAAAGTCAAAAAGTCTCAAAACTTGCAGATAAGCCAGAATAAGAGGCATAAAAATAAAAACAAAAACAATAACAGAGTAGAACTGAGATGGAGAGGCGGCCCATTTCCAATTCCCAAATAACCAATTCCCCAGGCGGCGCTTAAACGTCCGACGACATCCGAGGGTCTCAGCCTCACCATTTGACAAATGCGACGCAATTGAAGTTTGTTTGGCCAAGTTGTTCGGTTCGGTCAGCTAACTGTAAATGTTAATTCCCAGATGAAAAATTTATTAATAGCCCGGGACAAGGCACAGCCCCAGGTCCGAGCTAAAAAAACAGCAAACAAAAGCAATCTGGAAATAAAAACAGAGTCAAGTTGTGGAATATTCATGTCTGAAATGCAGAAATTCAAGTTGTCCAAGTGCCCTGGTATATGCACGTTGAGGCCAAAATGAATTTTTGTTGGCCAAGAAATGAGTCCGGAATTCCCAAGAGCCCTGCAGTTTAAGAGTGGTATCCGGTGCTCCCTTTTTTCAGGGGGACCGAAATTCTGTTTAACTTACACTCATATCACGCATACGACCCGGCGACTTATGGCCAAAATAAGTGGAAGTATATTCCACTCAGTGGGTGAGTGGTGGGTGGGTGGATCTGTGTGGGTTGAGTGTGTGACTGGGTGGTTGCGCAATATGGCTGCCAATTGCACGCATTTTTGTCGTTCAATTTCGGTCGAAAGGCTCTTGTTTTCCCTTTGGCAGGGCCATTTTTTCTACTTTTTTCGGGGCTGGCTAAGTAGCTCAGCGGTTGCGGCTCAATGGGGCCCATACTGCTTAACCAACCCCTCCCCATAAATACCATCCCCGTTTCCACGTGTGTTTGTGCGTGCGCTTATGTAATAATTTGGTCTATTTGTTGCCTGCCATTGGGTTTATTGAATTTGGCATTTGCATGTTAGACGAGTCCTGTCGCGCATGTGAGCCTATGATACCCGCTGAAACCCCCCTCTAGACAAACAGAATAAACCCCCTAGTACATGATATGCCAGCATCCATACACTGAGAAAAGTAAATAATATTTTGCTCTAAATTTCGGTCTCAAATTCTTAATGATTTTGATTCGTTCTATGTATTCATGTATTATTAGAGCAATGCGTTTTGAAAACCAAGAATACCTGCAAGTTCTTCATACTTTTTTTAGTGCAAGCATCTTTTGGCATCTTTGCAGAAAACAATTCAATTATCTGGCAGTAAATATTGCAAATGAAGTTGTTTATTGTGCCTGATGCTATGCCAATTGAATTTGAAACTCAAACTCCTCGACGGGTATCCTTTTCCCCTGTGTAAGGTGCCAGAACAACACAAAAATACAATTTCCTTTGGCAGGCAATTAAAAAACATTACACGGGTCGTATGATGAATATTTTTGGTTCTTCTCTTCTGGTTGCTTCTGTGTTTTTTTTTGTGCTTGGGTGGATGGGCGTGACCTTGAATACTGTCGAGTGGCAGTTGACGGTTCGGCTTGATTTATATGCAAAAGTGGGGGAAGCAAACAAAGGCAACCGCTAACAAAATGAGGACTCGGCAAAGTGCAAAAGCGAATTAATTATGCACATTAACTTTTGCCGCTTAATGCGCTGCCAACTCTCCGACTCCGACTGGGAAGGTGAGCGAAGGACTCGGCGGGACCGATTCCAGGATCCTGAATGAGTGACCCAAGTCCGGCAATGTGCGCGAATGACTTTGAAAAATGGCAACGGACGAAAGCTGCTTAATTAGTGCGTAATTTGTAAGTTGAAGAAAGAAAAGAAAGCCGCTCGGCTAAGTGGAAGGAAAAGCCTTTGAAACAATTCGCTCAGCGAGGTAAATATTAATTACACTTCTTCGAAATGGCCGGCTATAAAATGACTTCACTTGGACCATCTATCAATAAGGCTATCAATCAGTTTGGTCTGGAAAAAGGGAGTTCCAAACAAAAAAAGGCAGATCGAAGCTGTGGCCCAGAACTTAAGCCAGCCCTTAGTCTTTGTTGATTCAGTATAAACCTTGTTTATTTTCCATTTGCCCCCTTTGAGCCAGTTGCACATCGTACATACTTTTTTTGTACACATTTTTTGTGTCCTTAACGAAACCCTTACCCTAGCTGTCCTTGTATCTCTGGGATGTCTGCGGCTCGTCTTTCTGTTTGTTTAGGCTGCGGTCCTGCGGCCATTTTGCTGACTGACCGATGGCTTTGGGCCCAATTGCTTTCGGCCCTGTGGCCAGGTGTCAATTAGCCGCTCCAATTTGCGAATAATTTGCCCAGATGTTGTCTCTTACGCCTGCCAAACTGCGACCAGACACACGGCTACACATTCTGCGGTTTCCGTTCATGGAAACCGCGAGATGCAGATTTTTTTCTGCCAGCTTCCTGCTTTAATTTCCGTCGAAATTGCACATGCCCCTGCCGAGACCTGCCCCTCGAAATCCCCTAGACGAAAACAAAAAAAAATGTGCAACTGCCACTGCCACAGCCATTTCCCAGAGCACTTTAAGGTCGTTCAGTTAAATGCAATGAAATTATTCTTCCACCTCGGTGGCCCATTGAAATGTTAATTAATGCTCAGGCAGCCAGCAGGACGAGCCTCAAATAATGCCTTGGTCACTGGCAAGCTTCGAAGGATTCTGTTGTGGAACCTGAATGTGGCGGCTGATGCTGATGCAGGTCCTTGTTTGATGCGTTTTTGTGCCACAGCATTCAACGCAGCGGGGCAGCAACAGCTTCCGCAACTGCGGCTCCAATCCGGTTTATAGCCTCATCTTCATCAGTGCGTTTAAAATTTTACTGGTCCGCCTTCTACTGAACGGCTTTGCTCAGCAGATTTCCTCATACTCTTTCAGGGCCTAGTTACAAATTTAAAATTTTCTGTTCATACTAAGTTCCATACATAAAAAAAGTATAAGTATTTAACTAAAAGGGGGAAAAAGAGATGAGAATGATTTTGAGACCCATAAAATTACCAAGGCTCTCAATGCGATCATTCAGAACTTTCTTCCAGAACAGTTTCCTTTAAATCAGTTGACAAGTCCTGGTTATAAACCAGGATAACGCTGTTATTTTTCCCTGTTTTCTGTTATATTTTTTATTTTTCCCACGGAGTTTTTAAATTCTGTATTATTGCCTGTATTATAATTTCACAATTTGCAGTTAAAAGTAGGATCAGTTATCATTCTGCGTATCATTAATCAGCCTCAACAATGGAACAAGAGTGGCTGAGAAAAGCTGATAAATAACGTCATTGAACAATCATAAAAAGAAAATAAAAATAACACAAGATGTCTCGATCCGACAAAAAACCGATTTGATTTAAAAAAAAAAAGTCTTTAGAAGGAATTGGCTATTTATACGTCGAGTATTAGCGACATGTAATAATAATAATAGAACCCGAATATAATAATAAAACATTATAAAAA